TGCCTCTAGTCTTGCCATGGCTACAACTGCTGCTTCGAGGTCCGCTTGTCAGAGAGGGGAGAGTTTCGCTCCCGGTGCTCAGGATCTGTGGGAGTTTATCTTGAAGACTACGTATTTGATAAGGGAAGAGCACCTTGAGTTAGTGAGGAGAGACTACGGATGGGGGGAGGAGGTAGCGCTACAGGTGCTTTCCGCGGATGAAGGTATCGACGACCTTGCCGATGGGTTCCTGAATGTATATACGTATCCTTTCACTGAGACCTCTCGACAAGGTCGTGCTCGACTTTTGTGTAAAGTATCGGGTTAACTTGGCGCAGGTACACCCGTCGTTTTGGCGAATTGTGTTGATGGTGAGGTTTTTGCGGAGGAGGCGGGGCTTGAATTCACGCTTAGCCATCTTGTCAGGCTGTACCGGCCTTTTCACCACTGAGGTCTACTAACCTTGCGGTGCCGTTCGTCCACGCCTTTTGTTGTTGATGACGATGAAGGCGGAGATCGGTATTGGGCCAGTCGGTTCGTCCGGGTCCGGATGGCCGACGTTATCCCTGTGGAGCTTATGTTATTCCCTGAAGAATGGAACTATATGCGTGAGTGGAGCGTCTTGTGCTTTCCCATATTCGTTTATGTTGAAAGCTAATCTTGTAATCGTGATTCCTTCCTTTCTGCAGCAATTTCATGGGCACCAAGCGAAGTTCCTGATCTGCCTGGTTGGGTCCGGAAGCTGGCGACCCACTCAACTTGCGACGAGCGCAGGTGGCGAGCTGCATCTCGGGGCAGATGGGAAGCAAAATGTCATGGTGCGTGTGTATATTGCTTGTCCCTTGTCCCTTGTTCCTTGTTTATTTGAAGAGACATTCTCCCTTTTTTATGTACTAACCTTGCTGTTGTAGGTATCGGAGAGCCTCCGAAGGCGAGGCTGTGCCCCTTCAGAGAGGAGGAGGGGTTGTCGGTGTTCGAGCCAAGTATGAAAGTGATAAGCTTGAAATGCACTTGCAGGGAGATGGCGCTTGTGGCGAGGCGATGCGGGGTCGGGCCATTGAGACGGGAATATTGCCCGAGCCTATCGTGCCCGAGGTTACTAGTTCTGGAAAGGTGGCTCCTTCGAACGGTCGTGTTTCGATCGGGGCCGAGGGGGCTAGATCGACAGATATGAGCTCGGTCTTCGAGGAAGTCTTCCGACTTCATTTTGAGGTGAACTTCGTTGTAGGCCTCCTAAATCCGCATCTTCCTTTTCTTATCGTGTTTTTCATTTTGCAGGACTTTGACAGGCTTAGGTTCGAGCTGCTCCGTCATGGGGCTAGGCTCTGGAAAGCTCTAGATGAGGGCAAATCCCTTAGGCTCCTTTGTGAGGAGAAGGAAACTGAGTTCGCATACTGGCGATGTGAGGTGTATCGGAGCCTAAATTACGAGAGCTATTTGATGGAGCAGGTAACTTCCTGCCCTGGTTGAGTATGCATTTTGCTTTTTATCTTCTAAGGTTAATTCTTTTGCTTTTTATCTTCTAAGGTTAATTCTTCGTCTATCTCAGTTGTAGAAAAAGATGGAGGACTTGGAGCGTCTTAGGGGTAAGGCCGAACAAATCAGAAATGACTGTACCGAGCTGAGAGCTCGGCCGCAAGTCCAAGCCTCAGAGGAGAAAGATGCATCGGCTAGACTTTCGGCCCTCAGAGTCCATCTCCGTTTAGCCTATGGCAATGTTTCATTTCAAGCGCATATGATCGCGAAGCTTGAATCCGAACTTTCGAAGGTTAGGGTTGAGATCGCTGATGTTCGGGCCGAAGTGATTTTGAACCGTACTAGGGCCGATCAGGAGATGGCACTTCATTTGAAGGATGCTACCGATGCTCAAGCCGAGTTGAAGAGGGTCCTCGATCGTGGAGAGAAGATCGAAGAATATGCGCGTTGCAAATCTCGGAGAAAGGTTCTCGAAGAAATCAGTGCCAGGGGTTTTGTTCTCTCGGAATAGTTGGCGCGAGCGAGGGTGGATGAGCGTGATGCTCAGTTACTCCTGTCTGATGCCGAGGAGACTGAAGATGAGGCCGGTAGGCCGTAACTCTCGGGGGTGGGGCGTAGACCTTGCCATCCCGTACGTAGTACCTTTTTTGAGTATGTTTGCAGATGGAGAATGTATTTTTCCACGTATGTACCTGAAAAGAAAAAACCCTTTTGCGGCTTTTTTGTTCTTTTGTACCTTCTTTTGTTTCGCTTATGGCCAGGCGGACTGGTTTCAGAGTCAGTAAGATTTATTAGATCCGTGGTATGGCCCTGGGGCTCATTAGGCGGGCCCGGGGCTCTTACGCGCTCGGTCCTTGCGACCTTTGGTTAAGCAGTCATTCTGAGCACTTATGCTTTTGCCCAACTGTTTCGGGTAGAGTCTCCGAGTTGGGTTTCGACTCGAGCTCATATATTTCTCTAGATTTTTATGTTCGCATGGGCCGGTGGCCCTTACGTTTTAACTCTCTTGGATCCAGTCTCCGAGTCGGGCTACGACTCGAGCTCAGTCGACCCTTAAGTTTTATGTTTGTATTGGGCAGGCGACAATGGCTCTTACACCTTCGATCGAAGTGATCTTTTATGTAAGCTGGCGACAATGGCTCTTACGCTTCGCCCTTAGGCGTGTGTGTGTGGCCTTGAGGCTCGATAGGCTGGCGACAATGGCTCTTACGCTTTGCCCTTAGGCATATGTGCGGCCCTAAGGCTTGTTAGGCTGGCGACAATGGCTCTTACGCTTCGCCCTTAGGCGTATGTGCGGCCCTGAGGCTCGTTAGGCTGGCGACAATGGCTCTTACGCTTCGCCCTTAGGTGTATGTGCGGCCTTGAGGCTCGTTAGGCTTTATTTTCCTCTCGTTAAGGACTTTTGCGATGATTTTGCCTGACCTATCGTCGGTTCGGGAAGAACCTCGATTTCCAGTCATTAGCGGCGATGTTCGAGCACCTCGTAAGGTTCAGCTTGTAGGCTGAGTAGCTTGAAGCCTTATAATTTGGAGCTGACATGGTCGAAGCTCTTTTGCCTGTTGAGGGTAGCCTGTTTAACCGGTTCTTTTCGAAGTAGATTCGAAGTAATGGCCTATGATTTTGTAGCGACGATTAGGCGTCCCCGAGTCACATTAGTTTGGCTGGTGCAGCCGTATGACCGTAGTAATTTATGTTTGGCCGGAGCCATTTTTTGATCCTGAGTATAGTAGTTTAGGCGTCTATATCGAGGGTATGCCTTTTTAGGGGTCTTACAAATTCGATATATATCCTGAACTTTGAGATTGATTTTATGCCTGTAATAAGGTCTTACAAAACTTTTCATGCCTTTTGAGGTCTTACAGTTGTTGCTGATACTTGATGCAAGTATGATTCATGCCTTGCTTGAAGGTCTTACAGTTCGTGTTTGCTTTGTGCAAGTCTTACAAGATCAAGTTTGCCCGCTCAGGGTCATACGACCTCGGGTTTATTGGTGAATGGCGATTGGCAATAGTCTCCGAGTCATCGAGTTTGTTTTGGATTGAGAGCCATTACTCGTGAGCTCGGGATTGCCTCATTGAGGGCTTACAACTTTGGAGATTCCGACCCTGAGGTCGTGCGTATGTGGAGTTCTTTGACGCCAGTCTCCGAGCATTCAGGACGCTTTCTTTTTGGAGATAGTTAATGATTTTTGTGTTGCCTCGTTGGGGGCTTATTAGTCCGGAGTTTCGACCCTGAGGTCACGCGGGTGCCGAATTATTGACGTCAGTCTCCGAGTATCTGGGACATTTTCCGATGGAGAAATTGTTCTGGCGAAAAACGCTGGGTTTTCCTTGGAGCATGAATGTTGTTGGCAAAAAGCATTCTTTGATTATTCGACACTAGTACATGTGCCTCCGCCATCGGGGTGCGGTTGTGCAGACATGGTTCATTCGACCGTTTGGTCCAGTACAATTCTCATCGGGATCCTATTTGGCATCTCTTGGCTTTTCTGGGCGGACGACCTTCCGAAAGGGCGTCCATCGACGCATGTGGTTGATAGCAAAAGAAGCCTTGAGGACCTGTTGGATTCCCTTCAAGTAGCATATAGGTGTTGCCTCGTTAAAAACCTTGCCGGCAAAACCCTCTTCGGGACAAAAAGCTCGGTCGAAGGAAAAGAGTGCAACGGATGTCTTTAAAACCTAAGGGTCTTCGGGCTGGGCGTGCATATCTGACCGCTTTGATCGAGTGCCTGTATAAAAGAATTAGTATGAAATATAAACTGAAAAGGGAGATGGTTATACCTTATCGCGGGATGCATTTGGCGATGTTCCGAGGTCTGGTACGCCTCTGTTGTTCGCGGCGAGGACTCAATACGGTCCTCCTCTGTGTTCAACCGGGCTTAGTCGAAGATGTAGTTTGATTGTCCTTAGGCTCTCTCGAGAGCGGACATATTGGCGCCGGTGTTGCTCCCCGTGGACGGTTTTAGTCCCGTCTTTTGTTGGGAATTTCATTATCTGGTGGAGGGTGGACGGTACCGCTCTCATGCAGTGTATCCACGGTCGCCCGAACAAGGCATTGTACCTTATGTCTCCTTCGATGACATGGAATTTGACGTATTGAGTCGCGCCGGCTACGCTGACCGGGAGAGTGATCTCACCCTTTGTCGTCTCGCTTTCCATGTTAAATCCGTTGAGGACCCGAGTGGCGAGCACCATTTGGTCTAGTAGTCCGAGCTGCTCTACTACCTTCGACCTGATAATGTTGGCCGAGCTACCTGGGTCCACGAGTACACGTTTTATCTGAAATGTATTTACGAGGAAAGAGATTACCAGTGCATCGTTATGAGGTTGAGACAGGGTATCGGAGTCCTCCTCGCTGAATGTGAGGGCATCTTCGGGTACGTATCCCCGGGTTCGCTTATCTCTGGTGATGGAAATTTTTTTCCTTCTCATCACGGGTTCTTGAAGAGCGTCGATCCCTCCTAATATCATGTGAATAATGTTTCGTGGCTCGTTTACTTCATTCTTCTTGGCTGCCTCCCTTCCTCGGAACTGATTCTTTCTCGGTCACTCAAGAATTCTCTGAGATGACCGTTGTTGAGTAACCTGGCCACTTCTTCTCGCAGCTGGTGACAATCCTCGGTCCTGTGGCCATGCGTGTTGTGAAATTCGCATAGCAAGTTATGATTCCTTTGGGAATGATCCGACTGTACAGGCCTGGGCCATCTGGTATCCTTGATTTTGCCGATGGCGAACACGATGTCTGAAATGTCAATGTTGAAGTTGTACTCCGATAGGCGTGGTGCCCCTGTTGACCCTGTGTTTCCGTCGAATCCGGCTCTATTAATGAACCTTTGGGGGTTCTTCCCTCGGTTGACCGATCGGTCATTGCGAGGTGGGTTTCATCTTGGGGCGTTTCTCCTATCTTCGGTGTATGGCTGATACCTTTCTTTGTTCAGCTTCGACTCTTTTGCTAAGAGCCTGTTTGGCTATACTAAGCCCGAAGGGGCTCCCAATTGGTCATCCTCGACCCTGATCTTTGACTGGTATCGGTTGTGGACATCCGACCAGGTTACAGCGGGATACTCGATCAGATTTTCTTTTAGCTGCCGCGAGGCCACAGAACTCCGATCGTTCAGGCCCTGAGTGAAGGCCTGTACCGCCCAGTCGTCGGAGACCGGGGGTAGTTCCATTCGTTCCGTTTGAAAGCGGGACACGAGCAGCATTTTGTTCTCCCTTTGCCTGATCTTGAATACGTCAGACTTCCCCGTTGCTACTTTGATGGCACCGGCGTGTGCCTTTGTGAAGGAGTCTGCCAGCATGGAAAATGAGTCTATGGAGTTGGGAGCTAGATTATGGTACCACATCATGGCCCCCTTTGAGAGTGTTTCCCCGAACATCTTCATTAAGACGGACTCGATCTCGTCGTCTTTTATGTCGTTGCCTTTTACTGCGCACGCATAGGCGGTAACGTGCTCGTTGGGGTTTGAGGTCTAGTTGTACTTCGGGAGTTCCAGCATTCTGAACTTTTTTTGGATGGGTTTCGGAGCTGCGTCCTCCGGGAACGGCCGCTGCACGAACTTCCTTGAGTCTACGCCTTTCAGGATCGGGGGCGCGCCCGAGTTTTGGTCGACCCTCGAGTTATAAGTTTCGACCTTCTTGTCATTGGCGGCTATCATCTTCTCGCCCGACTCGATCCTTCTGGAAAGATCCTCGAGCATTTTTACGATAGCAGGATCGGTCGTCGAACCATTATTGCTCAGTCCCTCCGGTACCTGTTCGGCCGGGGGAGTTGTTCTTGGTGTTACGGTGCTGGGAGTTTTTGTATGGCTTTGTAGCTGAGCGATAGCCAGCTGTTGTGCCTGCAGCATTTCAATGATAACATGAAGGCTAACTTCCTGTTCTTCCCGAGCTGGGGTTTTCTAGGCTTCCTGTTGGTCGTCTTGGTGTACGCTCCTATCGGTGCGCGAGGTTTCGTCGATCTGCTGTGCGTCTTGTGAACCCACACCGCTGGACTCGGTCCAGGCGCATTATCGAGGTTTAGTGGTGGCCCGCCGACGATCAGAACTTCTACACCGTTCTCTCCGTGGTTTTCGAGGTTGTTGTTCTCAACTCTGTTCACTGAGCCAGACATTTTGACCTGCAATCGAAGATCTTGGACAAGAAGAAGTGTGAAAGATAACTTGCGTTGTGTGACGAAACTAGCAACAAAATAATCACTATTATTTTTAGCCCCACGGTGGGCGCCAAACTGTTTACCGTAAAAATGGAAATAATAATTAAATTTGTTGATGGGACTCTAAAAATACGTGATCTATTTTTATGCTAGTCGTGGAGCAGTTAATGCTGTGAGTGTGTAGTTTGAGGGTGAGACGCGAGCTAAAATAAAGCAGTAACCGAACCGAGAGATAGCCGTTCGGGGCCTCGACCTGTTCGATTTGGGTCCTCGAGGTCGAGTCTCGAGCTCGGGCTCGAGCTATCAGGGGAAATTGAGGAAGGACTAACAGATGCAATAATATTAAAGGAGGCTCTTTATAGCCAATGATAAGCAATAAACAAGCAATGAATATGGAACAAGTATGAAAATAATAGGATAGAACAACAGTGTCGAGAGAGTATCTTAGAGTGAAAGAGAGAGAGTTATCATATATTTCATGTAGAGTCTTTGGAGAAACATCCCTTCCTTAGAAAATAATTAGAATCCCCTTTATATAGAAGGGAAAAAGTTTATACGGTAAGGCACATATTAGTTGTAAAGGCGTGGAGATGGGATGGCTGAAATGACGCCTCGAGTAGGGCTCAGAATAGCCTGGCTATGCTTTGCCAGACTTAGCCGTGACAGATTTAGCCGTGTCTTGGGAACTCCTATTTCTGCTTTTGCCCCGATCAATATCCTCCCGAGGCCGGGTGCCGATGGGCCCCGAGGGAGAAGACTCGAGTGCATCTTTACAGCCTCGAGGCTTTGAGTCGATCTTCCGAAATGCTTAAAAGACGGGAAATTGGATTCTCCGATTTTGTCGTACACAAAGGAGAACTTGAGTAGGTTCGCAACTTGGCAAACTTGTCACTCACCCTCAATGTCCCCGATATCCACCAACAAAACACAAAGAACCCAACACCTCCTCTAAACACACAAAACCAACAGCCACAAAATCCTACCGCACCAAATCAATATGCGACTCCACCCCAAAATAATAATCCGTTGCCAATACCAACTCCACCGCAACATCATCATCAACCAATTTAGTACCCACCAACCACCACTTACCACACTCCCCAGAACACACCAAAACCCATTCCCGATCCTCAAAACTCCACCAATGACCATCACTACACCCAAGTTCCTGGCACCCATCAAAGCAACCCTATATATGTGGAAACTATACCTCATTCTACCCAACCATTCTCCTGTACACCGAAATCCTACGAGAAGGACTTGCTCATTAAAAACATGGCTGAAGAACTCAAGAAGTTAACAAGCCGAGTTCAAGGTGTTGAGGGCGACAGAGGAATAGAAGGTTTGAACTATGAAGATCTGTGCATACAGCCGGATGTCGAACTGCCAGAGGGGTACAAGCCTCCCAAGTTCGAAATGTTCGATGGTACAGGTGATCCCAGGGTTCATCTAAGGACCTATTATGACAAGCTTGTCGGGGTCGGGAAAGATGAAAAGATCCGGATGAAGATCTTTATGAGGAGCCTTATTGGGACGCTTTGTCTTGGTATATCAGCCAAAATCCCAAGAAATGGTCCAATTGGGTAAGCATGGCGTCGGGTTTCATGGACCGGTTCAGGTTCAACACAGAGAATACACCGGATGTCTTCTACATTTAGAATCTTAGGAAGAAACCTACTGAGACTTTCCGTGAATACGCTACTCGTTGGAGGTCGGAAGCGGCCAAGGTCAGGCCCTCTTTAGACGAAGAACAGATGAATAAATTTAATCGCCAGGGCACATGATCCACAATATAATGAGAGGTTGACGGTTATCGAAAATCACAAATTCTCTGACATCATCAAACTCGGAGAAAGGATCGAAGAAGGAATCAAGAGCGGGATGTAACAAACTTCGAGGCCTTGCAAGCCACGAATAAGGCACTACAATCAAGTGGCATATCAAAGAAGAGAGATGTTGGGGCGGTAATGGTGGCCCAGGGCCTAAAATCTCCACTTACCTATCAGACACCTCCGCCCACATATCAAATACCTCCACCCACATATCAAACACCTCCACCCACATACCAAGCATCACCGCCTACATATCAACCTTCATCTCCCAGATATTCCAAACCAGCCACTGTCCATCACACCTATAACTCCCAACCATCCCACTTCCAATCACCACCAGCTCGCCAAAATTATCCAAGACTAAGACCCAACTTCGACCGCAAGCCACCCAGACAATACACCGCCATTGCTGNTGACCTCGGCACCGGTATTGGCCTTGCCGGAAGGAACGGAAGGGTTTGTGGTTTATTGTGATGCCTCCAGGGTTGGTTTGGGGTGTGTATTGATGCAGCATGGGAAGGTTATAGCATATGCCTCAAGACAACTCAAGAATCACGAGAAGAACTACCCGACGCATGATTTGGAGCTTGCAGCAGTCGTATTTGCTTTGAAAATATGCCGGCATTATCTTTATGGGGTTCATGTAGATGTGTTTTCATACCAAAAGAGCCTCCAGTACTTGTTCAAGCAGAAAGAATTGAATTTAAGGCAGCGTGGTGGTTAGAACTGCTCAAGGATTATGACATGAACATTTTATACCATCTAGGGAAGGCGAACGTGGTGGCCGACGCTCTCAGTCGAAAATCCATGGGTAGTTTGGCTCATTTGGGAGTGTATCGAAGGCCCTTGGGTCGGGAGGTTTATCAATTAGCCAGTTTAGGGGTTGGCATTTCGGCATCAGATAAGGGGAACATCATGGTGCATAATCGAGCAGAATCGTCACTTGTAGCGGAAGTCAAGGAAAAGCAGTTTAGTGATCCAGCATTGGCTCAGATAAAGGAAGCAGTTTTGAATAACAAGACTTCGACATTTTCACTCGGCAGCGAAGATGGTGTTTTGCAGTGTCAAGGTAGGTTATGTGTTCCGGATGTGGATAGGCTTCTGGAGAGGGTGATGGCAGAGGCTCATAATTCCAGGTATTCCGTGCATCCAGGTTCTACGAAAATGTATCATGATCTCAAGGAGGTTTATTGGTGGAACGGCATGAAGAGGGGTGTGGCGGACTTTGTATCTAAGTGTCCAAATTGTCAGCAAGTGAAGGCCGAGCATCAGCGGCCCGGCGGGCTAACTCAGCTTATGGAAATACCGATGTGGAAATGGGAGATGATTAACATGGATTTCGTGGTGGGGTTACCTCGCACTCAACACAAATTCGACTCAATTTGGGTAATAGTGGATCGACTCACCAAATCAGCTCACTTCTTGCCGGTCAAGTCCACTGATACTGCTGAACAATATGCCAAGCTGTATATCAAGGAGATAGTAAGGCTTCATGGCACTCCACTATCTATTATCTCAGATCGAGGGACCCAGTTCACAGCTAATTTTTGGAAGAAATTTCAGCAAGGTTTGGGTACTCAAGTGAATCTCAGCACAGCTTTCCATCCACAGACTGACGGTCAGGCCGAGCGGACTATTCAAACGCTTGAAGATATGTTGCGAGCTTGTGTCTTGGACTTCAAAGGTAACTGGGATGATCACTTGCCGCTTATAGAATTTGCTTACAATAACAGCTTCCATGCCAGCATCCAGATGGCCCCATTTGAAGCATTGTATGGAAGAAGGTGTAGGTCTCCGATTGGGTGGTTCGAAGTGGGTGAAGCAGAACTGATAGGGCCAGATCTTGTGCACCAGGCTATGGAGAAAGTTAAAATCATTCAGGAAAGGATGAAGACTGCTCAGAGTCGCCAAAAGTCTTATGCGGACGTTCATCGGAGGGAATTGGAATTTCAAGTTGGCGATTGGGTGTTCTTGAGGGTATCCCCTATGAAGGGGATCATGCGCTTCGGAAAGAAAGGTAAGTATGTCGGGCCTTATCGGATCGTTCAAAGGATAGGGCAGGTGGCCTATAGGTTGGAATTGCCTCCCGAAATGTCATTAGTGCATCCGGTGTTCCATGTGTCCATGTTGAAGAAAGTGGTTGGAGATCCGTCCACCATCGTGCCAGTCGAGACTATCAAGGTTAATAAAAGCTGTCGTATGAAGAGGTTCCGGTTGCCATTCTTGATAGACAAGTCCGTAGGTTGAGAAATAAGGAAGTTGCCTCGGTTAAGGTGTTTTGGCGAAGTCAACAAGTCGAGGAAGCTACGTGGGAAGCGGAGAAAGAAATGAAAGAGAAATATCCCTATCTATTCGATCAAGTCTAGAAGAAATTATGTGACCTTCCTATCTCTAAAACAATTACCATTGTGTCCAAGTTGATTCCTTCCTAAGTGCTAGTGAAGTTCCTCTAGTTGTGCCAGATTTATAGATGTAGGGATTGTCTCAAGTCATGTGAATATTTCTTTGGTAAATGAAATTTTAAAAGACTCTTGTGATAAGTAATCAATTAATGGTGGTATAAGTTGGTAATGAATTACTTGTATGCTTGTAGTGTGTTGAAATGGCTAAATTATGTGAAACTCATTGAAATAACTAATTCATAAGCAAAGCATATCGAGTGATCAAATGTGTGCATTTGTTAAGGTAAGGATTTGTATACTAGCTGTAAGGGTAGTTGAAATTGTGTATTGGTGCTCAGAATTGTGTTTCGGGGGCCCTCTATCAGGTGGAGATGTTCTAATTACAAAGGAAACTCTGGCAAAAAATTTCTAAAAATTTGGGAAATAGTGAAAGGTGTAGGAATCTGCATAAC